CTTAAATGGAGCGCGATTTCCACCAAAGATTTGGAAATTGGTCCGTGTGCAAAGCATTGTGGGGATTTTAAGACCGCGGAGGATACACATGTGCAGCCTCGAAATTTCCCGCAACGAAGGACGCCGGCCTCGGTAGAATTCCAAGCATCCTGGACATTGGAACAGTCCTTCGGCGGGACTCGATGACGTAGCATCCTTGAAATAGTGGCTCTGGAGCATTCTTCCTCGACAGTGAGAAACACCCTTTATACAGTAAATGTGAGGTAAAGTGTGTCGCCAATGTAACCGGTTAGAACTCAAAGTGGCGATGAGGTCCTAAAATGTATGGAAAGGGTCTTAAAAAAGGTCTTAAAAGGAATTGCATTTGACTTCAGGATTCCTGCATATACCCTGTTACATATCGTCCTAAGAGAAGTCCTTTTTCATTCTTGACTATTTGTCTCGATTGAATGCCACTTTAAGCTATGTGATGTTTTGCAGTTCCTCAAAGTCATCAGACGAAGACGGTAGTTTGTGATATAAAAACTATCAATCGGGCCCCTTTAATGGATCCTTTGTCGTAGCACTAACTGACATCGCTCAGTTTCTGACTCTTTCTCCCGCCTTGTGTCCACAGAGCAGTCCAGACGTGACGACCTGGAGTCTCTGGGCTACGTCCTCATGTACTTCAACCTGGGCTCCCTCCCCTGGCAGGGCCTCAAGGCCGCCACCAAGAGACAGAAGTACGAGCGAATCAGTGAGAAGAAAATGTCCACGCCCATCGAGGTTCTCTGCAAAGGATACCCCTGTAAGTTATGATTCTGCGTTTCCGTGGCAGCTGCAGTATTGAGTTTTATTTCAGCCAATTCATGTGCCGTGATGTTTTGAGTATCCTGAGTTTCTCTTCACTTCTGTTCTCTCCTGCAGCTGAGTTCTCCACCTACCTGAATTTCTGCCGTTCGCTTCGTTTTGACGACAAGCCGGACTACTCTTACCTACGGCAGCTCTTCAGGAATCTCTTCCACCGCCAGGGATTCTCCTACGATTACGTCTTCGACTGGAACATGCTCAAATTTGTGAGTTTCTTAGTTTTGTTTATAGTGTCGTGGACAATCCCCATTGATCAACTGTCACAAAAACCAGTAAATGGGGCAACTTTGGCCAACTTTGCTAATTTCCAGCTGTTGTCCCCGGCCAGACGAGAATAGACACCTTTTTAAAATCACAATACATCACAGCATTAGTTAAAGTGTTTAGTATGTTGCCTAGACGCAAACTAAGTCTGTCATCAGCGTGAAAAGATCTCACTGCCGAAAATATAATACGGCTAATTTGGAGCTATATTTTGTTAATGGAAACTCTTTGATGTCTCAGGGTGCCAGTCGAACAGCTGAGGACGGGGAGCGGGAGCGAGAGCGGAGGGCGGGAGATGACGAGCGGGTCGCAGGGGCCCCCAGAGTGTCGGCATCGCGGGGCCTCCCACCGGGGCCCCTCCCCGCAGCTGCCAACAGAGTGAGGAACGGGCCGGAGCAGGCCGTCTCCAACCCCGCCTCGCGGGTGCCGCAGTCCGGTGAGTTTTCTGCCGACTCGTCTCAAAGTTCTGTGGTCCGTCTTAAAATACAATTCTGAAAACAAATTCATTAGTTTTTTCTAATGTCAAAATTGACACAACTTCATGTTTTTTTAAGAATATGACTTTTATCCATTTAGAGTATATATTTAATATTATTATTAAATCCATGTTATCCCCATACTATGTTATGATATCCGTCGGCAACCCTAAATTAAACAAATGTAACGCCCATATTACAATGTTGCTACACCAATATTATGGCATTTTAGCACATGTATATCACCCATGTTACTATTGTTCAACCATATAAGTTATTACAACCGTATTTCACCCTTCTAACGCACATATTACACCATCACACGTATATTACTCCGTTGTCATTCATATTACGGCGTTATTACACTTATTTTACACCCGTTGTTCACCCAAGTTATAGTTATAACACTAGGGATGGGTATCGTTACGTTTTTAACGGTACTACTACTTTTATCGATACCGCTTATTGATCCGGTCCTTTAACGGTACTCTTATCGGTTCTTTTGGAGAGAAAAACAAGGTAAACTAAACAAATTGTGAACACAATTAACATTGCTTATTATTTAAATTAAATAAATAATATTTCACATCAAAACAAACAACAATGTTTTAACAAATCGCATTAAATAATCTGACAGAACTGTAAACAGAATAGCTGAAACTTTAACAAAATAAATAACTGCTCGATTATGGCAAAAATCATAATCTGGATTATTTGGGTCAATAATTGTAATTACAATTATTAAATGCGATTATTCATTGACTTTGAAAACATCCATTTATTGTACTTTAAAACAAATACAAATCATAATTTGAACTTTTTAACTGTTGAATTATACGTTCAGGGTAATCAACTGAAAAACCAATATAAATTATATATTCATATCTACATTTAAATGAATAATAAATACCAATAAACAAGATCAACAGACATGTTGCAGTGCACTGTCACAACCTGAAAACTCCTTAACATAAAGCCAACATTTTGGTAAAACATATTCAACATATTCCACTCAGTTAAACATTGAAGGCTGGCCCACCGTCATGGTCCAGAAGTAACAGGAAGTAAATGTTGAACTACAATTTAAGACCAAATAAAAATGTTTTGGCCACCATGGCAAATGCTGGTAGGGCTGCTCGTGTCATCTCTTAAAGATTTTTGCTAGAAACTAGGGCCGCTCGATTATGGCAAAAATCATAATCTTGATTATTTGGGTCAATAATCGAGATCACGATTATTAAAAACGATTATCCATTTACTTTGAAAACATCCATTTATTGGAGAAAAAAAATGTGAACAGGATGTTTTTAACAGTTGATTACCCTGAACTTTAAGTATAACCAGTTGCGGCTGGTGGAAAATATTTTTGGTGGGGCTATGGCTTTGGGAACACTCAAATTATTTAATTCCCATTTAAAATTGTGTGTGTGGTACAGCTACACCATTGTTTGGTTTCCATGGTAGCGCGTCTCTTTAGCAGCGCGTGCAACTCAAAGTCTGAGAGAGTGAGGAAGATGAAAACTGAACAAGAATCGACAACTCGACCCTCTGCTCACTCCTTTCCTGTAAAACACAGGTCCAGCCCACACATATGCTCCATGGTGCCACAGGCATTGCCCTTACAACTACAATAAGCATATAAATGATAATCTACAGCTCCGGCGATCCACTAGCACCGGAGTCTCCACCTGCAGACAACTACTGTAGCGTCACCTTGGATACGAGTCCAAACAACTCACAGACACACAGGCCAGGGCGCTGACAGGGCGCCCTTTGAGCATCAGATCTCACGACGCTGATTGGCTGAAATTATGTTTCGGCGGCATAGTTTACAGATAGCAACAGTCAGCTCCTGGCTGCTGCTGCTCTGGCTGAGGGCTCCTTTCTACCGCCCGGACGAGAGAGGGTAATGATGCACGCTGCGGCCAGGCAGGAAACATGTGACTTATCAGTAACTTTGAATGACAATCAAACATGTGGGAAGAGGGGGGGCGGCGCCCCTATGGGCTGGCCGCCACTGAATATAACTCAACTGAAAGAAAAGAAAATCGTTATATTTCGATTACGTTGTTTTCGTAATCGTTGCAAGCCATAATCGTAATTGCGATTTAAAATACGATTAATTGAGCAGCCCTATCTCATCATTAACCCATGTTTGTATCATGTAGTTAACTCCGTGTGTTGCTGCTAGCACACATAACACCTGACGTGGATGGGGCTACAGAGCCACTAGAAAGACGGTGGAACCCGGTGCATTCCTCCGTCTGGATGTGGAGCACTTTTGATACATGTTTAGACAAATTGCTCGTGTTACCGCCCTTACTTGCTAAACTCTTATTGCACTTTTGGTAATGAGCATTGTCCACATCGAGACGGGTAAAGTTTAACCACACCTCGGAGCGCGTTCTCTCCGCCATCTCCTCCGTGTGTGTGTGCTGCAGAGCGTGTGTAGACTGCCCCGCCCCCTCGCACACAGGCGGGGGAGAGAGATCTCTCGTCTGGATTGGAAAGATCGAAAATACTAAAAATGTTGCAGTCTTTTTGCGTATTAGAAACGGAGTTGGCGACACTAAAACTGCAATATAATGTTTGTGTAGCAATAATACATGACATATATTTTTTACATGTCTCCAGTACCGATAAAAGGCCGATAACGTCGGAGCTTAACCGCGGTACCACGGTCTTTAATAATTCCCATAGCCATCCCTATATAACACTCATAATAAACTGTTATTTCTCCCATAAACACCCATATTTCACGGTTATTACACCATCCGAGTATAGGCCCCAAACACACCACCTTTAATGTTTCTCATGAAGTGCACCGACTTACTGCCCCTTCCCCCCCACAGCCTGTCAACTGACTGTATCCCATTTAATGAACTATACTGACACCGCATTATATTTCTTGAATACCTGCACACCTTGTGGTCAGTTCTGAATGTTCCACATCATTCCAGGGAACACGTCGCCTCGTGCCATCTCTCGTGCGGAGAGGGAGAGGAAGGTGAGCATGCGGCTGCACCGCGGAGCCCCCGCAAACGTGTCGTCCTCTGACCTCACAGCCCGCCACGACGCATCCAGAATCTCCACATCACAGGTGAGAAAACACACACATTAGTGGGAGAAATGTGGTCATTTATGAAAATGCTATGTGTGTTGAAGTAAAGCGAATTATCCTCCAAAAATAACATTTTAGATTACAGCAAGACGTTCAAAAATCAAGCCGATGTTTAAAAGACTCATCTCGGTTAGGACTGGATTAATATTGCCACAACATTTTGATGTGGAAATGTATCAACAATATACATACAGACTTCAAGGAGTAATAGTGAACTATCTTTCAGCACTTCTTCAATCCACAACTTTGCTAAAATCACACGTAAAACATTTTGTAAGTAGTCGTGCTAATATAGAAACCTTATTGTTGTGTTGACGCTTCACTCCAGCAATTTCATTTTACAACCAGATCCGTTATTATGGACAATAACTTGGATTACATTGTTCTAAAGTGTTAACTAGATACTGTCATGCACTAAAGATGTCTTATGAAATCAGTTGGCTAAGCTTTCAGTGTTATGCGTGTCCCAGTAACTGGCTGTTTGTGTAGGTATTTGTGGGTTTGGTTACATCACCAAGGGAAATGGATCAAACAACTATTCATATTTAAACTGCACTGTCATTTTATACCCGTCTAATTCTATTTGTGACCCGCTCTATCGAAATCAGTCGGAAGTCGCAACGGCTCATTTCAAAATAAACGTGGATTTACGTAAAAAACTATTTTTTCGGGGTTCGGGTGTTTTGTTTGATTTTAAACAAACAAAGTCTTGGCTTTCAGAATATGAAACTTTTATTTCCAAAATCACACGATAAATACATGTTTGAAGCTTGTAAAGGGACGAAGACAGCTCTCACTCGCAATCTGCTCTTCCGCAGCGCCTCCCTCCGCTGACATTATGAGTGTACGCGTATAGTAATCATAGATAACACGACAGCGTCCGTTACAGTTTGTTTTCATCTGATTTCAACTAAACAAAGTCTTGGCTTTCAGAACATTAAACTTGTTTCGGCAAATTCAGAAGATAAATACAACTTTGAAGCTTCGGCATAATTACAAGCGGAGAACGGAGTAACGTAACGTCACAGCGGGCCTAACAACAGCCGGTGTTTCTCGTGACTGTTTTCCCCGGGAACCAAACACAATACACACAAACAGAAAATTACACAAACACACACACACACGTATACACACACACTCGCGAGCTTTCCCTCCAAACTAAAATATCTTCCCTCCGTAGTACTTTGATCATTTGCTAATAACCAATCAGATCGATGGATTCCAGAGAAGAGAAAACTTTGAAGGCCTTCTTCTCAAAACGCTGACTCGGTGACAGTCATTATATAATGTGATATATTTAGCTTAATATTTGGAGTACAACAACAATCCTGATATCATTAGGAAGCTAGGAAGCTCCTCTTTCCAGCAGTGTATACAACTCAAAGTGTGTCTTCGGGTCAATGTGACTGATTTCGATGGAGCAGGTCACATTTTCTCTTGTCTTTTAAACAACAGTTTGTACATGTCATGATTTACTGTGCCTGTTGCACTGTATCCTAATTGTTTTTGAATGTTTTAAAGCACTTAGAATCGCCTCATGTTGAAATGTTCTAAATAAATAAACGTATCTCGCCTTCCTTTGCAGGTCAGCGTGCCATTTGAGCACTTGGGGAAGTAGGGTTCTTTGGCTCTGCATGCACATGAAACTGACAGGTGAGCTGTTCTTTAAACTTCCAAATACATAAACGCACCACTTCCAAATGCCCCGCCCTCACTAACAACTCTCCCCTTTGTCATTACAGGTATATTCATCGCTCCCATTTCATTTTGTTCCTTTTATTTTGACCTTGTCTTATGAAAAGATGATTGCCAATGGACCCATGGATCTTAGGAAATGGACATAGATTTCTTTTAAGGATCCAGGGAAGTTTGTGACAGTACAAGTCTTTTTGCTGAAGCGTGGACCACCACCACCATTCAGAAAGCAAACACTCCTTCACCATTTTGACTCCATGGTTCATCATACCCTGCCACTCCTCAAAACATTTCCCTCTGTACCTTCTGTCTGACAAATGTGAAGAGCTGTTGGCGTCAAAGAAGCAAAAAGTAATCGGGGACGTGCATGTTTCTCGTCAAAGGTCATCTTAGTGATTGATATAGGCTTAGTAACGATTGCTTTTTCAGCTCAACACCGCAAAAACGATTCTGTGTATGTCATATTTGTATCTTTCGTGAGGATATCACAAATTGGAGCTCCTTTCTTTGCTTTGAGAGAAATGACAGCTAAAAATGAAGAAGTGAGGAGAGGCAGGTGAGAGGGTAGTGGACTAAAGGAGAGGTAGCTCTGAAGAGGATCAGTAAGTGATGTTTTAGCTGTAAGGTTTCCGGTGAAGTAGCATATGGTGCTTGCTCGCCCTTCATCCACGTCGTGAAAACTCGGCCACCAAAACCTCCACAACCCCTTAATTTGCCTGTTTTTTTGTTTTAAATGTGAGCCGGGTAAGGTGAAGAAGGACCATAGATATTGCAAAGACACACTCCACGTCTTGAGGGAAGCGCCTCAGGAAATTCTCAGCGTATTTGACCACATAGCTGCCCGTTTTGGCTAAGAAACAGTGGCTGCAATTTTGACGATACTTCTAAATGTTACCTTTTTTAATTCCTTTTCTTATGGAGGTCATAGGGGAGTGGGCAGGCTCCGTTAGGGATTACTCTTAAGGGGGGGGTGGGACATCCAATTGTTAATTGTAAAATGTTTACTTCACTGTAAATATTTTTTTTTTTTGTTGATGTAAAGCCAAACTGTGGTTATCTGTTTTTAAAGTAGAACAATGCATACTAATGACATCCATTGGGGCTGGGGGCAGAATTTTAGATATTTAAAGTACTAAACTGGGGGAGGGGCTTGTGTTGCATTGCCAGCTGGGTCATTTAATATTTTGTGTGTGTGTGAGACTGAGTGAATCCCTGCTAAGAATACAATTCCCATTTTGTATGCAGATTTTAATCCCACTTCTCTGCTATTTATGTTAAACTATTTTTTATATGTCTGTCCTCTTATTCCTGTCATTTCATCTTCCTGTAACTTATTAGAAATAGTGTTCGTTTGCCTGTCCTTTCTGTTGTCATGCTTCAACGGTTGTCCTCGTATAATACTTTCAATATTCCTTCCTGCAAAAAGTACATACTAATAGTTTTGATGTCACCTCCAGCTACCTTAATGATGTCATTCAAAAGAAAACATAACTGATGCAAATTGCAGGGATGTGTAAATAGCAGTGTGTGTACTGTGTGTAATTACCTTTGTACAGGCCACGTGACCCAGTGGCATCGTGACTGTCGGGTTGGGATTGGTCTAGGAGAGGAAGAGGCCAGGGGATTTCACTTTATGTATTGTGTACTGATATCTTGTACAGTTCTTTAACACACTTTATTTACAACAGTATTTGTGTATATTTTATGAAGTAATAAAAATGAATAACGTTGCTCACAACTTTTTGCTGACCTTTTATTATTGTCACGTCTTTTGCCTACTGTTAAGTCTAGACATTACTAAAACGATGAGTGTGTGTTTGGACATAACGTGGTGGAAAGGAACTTATTACATTTACTCGGGAACCAAGTACACATTGAGGTAATTCTACTTTACCCTAGTATTTTCATTGTATACTACTTTATACATCTGCTCTACTACATTTTGGAAGCAAATGTTGTACTTTTTACTCTACTACATTTATTTTACAGATCCATTTATTAGTTACTTTATTAATTCAGATTCTGACACACAATACTTGGGACAAACTTTTAAAATGGGATTATTTGGTATAGATTAAACCATCCAACATTATATTTTCGTAATTAAAACCACAAGTTTCTTAACAAACATAGTTGGCAGTCATTTTTCTAAGAGGTTTTTGTTCCAAAAATATTTCACACTTCCAGCTTCTTGTATGTGAATTTTTGCTGCTTTTGCTTTGACATATTTTAATATTTCTTTTATATTTCTTTCTTTAAATTAGTACTTTTACGTCCTAATACTTTAAGTACATTTTCCTAATAGTTCTTAAATACTTTTACTGGAGTAAGATAAGATTAAGTATTTTATTGATCGCAATTTGGGAAATGTTTGTGTTGCAGCAGCATGTACATGGCATTGTACAATAAAAATTAATAAACAAGAAAGTAGAAAATATACATGTAGAATTTACAAATGAACAATAACAAGATATAAAGCAAGCTAGTACCATTCTCGATGCAGTGCTTTTACTATAAATGTATTTTCACAGTGTGGTATTGGTACTTTTACTCAAGTACTCAGAATATGAATACTTTGTCCACCCCTCTATGCAGTGCAGTCTAGCTTAGTTTACATTAACAGACCCCGGAAAAATAAACATGACTGCGCATGCGCAAACTAGTTGCTGTTAATGCACTGAACTGCAGATGGTGATGTGGATGAAATAACGGTGTCCAGTTCATCAGCTTTGGATGGGGAAATGGTGAGAAGGAAACAGTTTTTCATTTCACATTTTGATATTGTAATTGAATGCGAGTCATCTCGAAAACATGTTATGTTTATTCGCTTTGTTTTGACTTGACGGGGAGAAGCAACAGTAAGCTAGGCGAATAAAGCTAACAGTAGCTAACGGCTAGCAGCGCTTGGCGTAGTTGATGCTCAGCTGTTAATACTTGCCATTTATTATCAAAGAAGAGGCTCATTTCATGGGTTCCTACATTAATGTAGTGTTTAATTTAGATTCCCAAGTTGGCTTGAATTTTACAGCGTTTAAAAATAACTTTTTCTACTCCAAAAGGTTTGTAATCGACTTGAGAGGATGAGCTAAATTGATGCTGTGATTTCAACGCAGATCCAAACAACTGCAGAGGAGGTGAGTGATCAGTGAGCCATTATCACCCAACAACAGCTACATTTCCCCCTGTTTAGCATGTTGTATTAGTTCACTGTTTACATATAACGATCGACATCGGCTGTGGTGATGTAAATATTGCTCCTAACGGATTTTCATTAAGTATGATGTCATCTTGTATGCAGCACGATTTTGTATACTGATCTGCAGCCTGAACACTGAGGAACCTGCTTCCTGGTTCGTTGAGGGATTTGTTCTAGCTGCACTTTGAAATCCCTTGTGGTCCTTGTTAATGATCTTGTGGTTATCAGAGCCTCAGATGGATCCCAGCCAGCTTCTATAGCCGGATGCTTCACAGTATGATTCATGCCTTGGGGCATATGACTGCCTGCCACAATGACTGCTGGTTCGATTCAGGTCAAAGTACAATGCATGTTTTGAAACCGACCCATGGGTGCAGTCAGCAGGATTGATGAGGTGCCTCTCTCTCTTGTCTGTGGCCCACTGGGAAGCATTGAGCGTTGTTGTCGCTGTATGTTGGAGCTGGTGATGCTTTTGTACAGCAAACACAGATATGAACAGATTTGATCTTCTAGACAACATGTTTGGACTGATCTACATGCATCCACGTGTGGTCGATATCCAACCACATGTCTTATCTGTCAGATAATATGATCAAAAGATACCAGGATAAATGGCAAGACCTTCCCCCGGTATAACAACAATGAGCTCAACACAGTAATATAGGAACAATAATAGTTCCTTTACATATGTTTTGGACACGTCAATATAATGATTATAACATTAGAAATCCATTATTATTATAAGTTATCAAACTGTAACCGTCTACATACAAAATCCTCATGCTACAAGTTTGACTAAGTTATTGGCTGGCTGTAAAAAATGAGATGAAATATTAAACGATGAAGATTGATATTTGGCTCAGCTCCTAATCAATACATTGAAGAAAGAAAAGTGAAATAGAGTATTTCCTCCTCAAAACTGTTAATGTTGTTAGAAATCTTAATTTTAATTGCTGCCCACTCTTATTCGATTAGTTGACAAATTGGTCAGTTATTTTAATAGTTGAGGAATGAATGAGTAAAGTGGTGCTTTTTTATGATTCTTTGTGAGCAAGACATATTTTGAAGATTAAATGAACTATATCCTAAGAAAAGAAAAAAAAATATTTGTTAATAATTTAGTTTTTGGGAGAAGGGGTGGGATTAAATAAGTGTAAACTTCTTCCCACCCCTTTTCGGATGTGTAATTAAGAATCAGATATATTTTTGTATATTAATTTGACACTGCTTCATTTTGTATTGTATAATAATTGTCATGTTAAATGTCATTATTATTATTATTTTTTTGTATTATTGTTTTACGTATTCGAAATATATCTAATAAAAAAAAATATATATATATATTGTTGACGAAGAATTTCTGTTGTCTAAAACCGCCCTAGCAGCGTTTTCTGCTGTGTGACACACCGATGTGTTTCATGTTACTGCACTGCCACACGCTGATCGAGGCCCTGGCAAACAGCGTGAGTCATCGATAACCATATCGAGCGCCAACCTATATATAGCTGGTGCACAGGGAGGGTTTGAAAGTCATTGTGGAATTAGTTTTCGCTGCGAATGATTAAATTATCGCCTTTCCGGAATCCACACCCAAGACATGGCGTGGTTGGAGGTATGACAGAGATCTGTGATGATCTGAAACGGGCGCTGGCACATGGAGATTTTTTTTTTTTTACCACATTTTTATTGAGATTAATACACAACATGTACAACCAAAAGCACAACATTTTTTTCTTTTTTGTTAAAATAACTTAAGTACATAAGAAAAAGATAAAATTAGACAACAGCAATTACTTACAAAATATACAGAATACATATGTAAGCTAAAAATAATAACAATAATACAGACAAACAGAGATAAAATAAAACAAACCCTCCCTCCCACACACACACACACACACACACACACACACACACACACACACACACACACACACACACACACACAGAGGGTGTTCGCTGTTGGGTGCCAACGTGGAGCATTTTCCTGTCTGCTTTTGACGTCGCAAGCTCCGGTTTGGTCAGCCTGATTTTCATTTGTCTAAATCAGTGCAACATAATTTAATAGTACTACTTATTTTGCTTCCCCTAATTACAAGTAATTTTGAAGCATCGAGAGATGGTGTTTTCAACTGGCATTGATTTCTTCCTATTGTGCTGACGTGGAACCTGGCAGTGTAAGCATTAGGGTTGAAAGACACGGTACAGAAACCAATGAAGACAATATAGGACTTTGTATTTCTGCATGGTTTGCAAATTGTTTGGCACCTGTATGTTACTTTAAGCAACTCAACAATACTGGAAACGGTATCACTGGGCCTCATGCAGCAACATTCTCTTAAATAAAAGAAAAGAAGGTATGCATAACGTTTTTACAATCCATCCTACCCAGGTGTGCTAAGTGACGAATCCCAGTATAGCATAAATTGTAGCACATGTGGCATCATATTATAAGCATAGGTAACGCCCCATACTACTGTATAAGGGCGGGTATTGTGCCGTGTGCAAATATACTAATAGGTGCCCAATCATTTGAGAGATGCCACTAAAAAAGGCTGTGAGAACAAGATCTTCAGCAGAAGTGAAATGCATTCTGAAGTGAACAATATCGCAACAAGCTTCCTCCTTTTATAGCCTTAATTATCTAACTCACACATATGATAATCTATATATATATAGTGACTTTAAATAACATGAAAGTCTATATTTGAACGTGCGAATGTGTGATACTGTTCTACTAAAAATATGTTCAGCGTCATGTCTAGCTACACAGCATCACAGAGGGAAACATTGGGTCAGCAGCCCTCAGCACACGGCTGTCACACTGATTTCCTGTGTCACAGTGATCCCCCCCCCTCTCCGTGGTGTGTTTGCCTCCTTTTAAGCCTCTACTTACCCA